CTTCACAAAGCAGACCTCCTCCAAGCAGGAGGGAAGCTGCTTGTTCTTTCAATAAAGTTAAAGAACGCTTTTTAAAAAATCCTGTCTCCAGATTACAAACTGGATCATCACCAGAATTCAACGGATTGTTTGGTTGCATGAAGACCACCTCCTGTAAAAATGTTATTGAAATCAGTTCTTTACTTTTTAAGTAATTCTGTTAACACAGACGGATCCGGTTTCAGTTCTGGTTGGACCACCAAGGTGTGAAAACTTTCCCAACTCTGTGAGCAGATGTAGTGAGATTTGAATATTATTGTTTTATCTGTGAAGCTGATGAATCTATATTGTGGATTAAGATAAGGTTTTCACTCCCGTACTGAGATAAAATAACAATATCCTTTAATTAAATCATAACACCACCTTTATGAAGATGTATTTATTTTCAGTTTAACTATTCATTTTACTGGGCAACAAAATTCGATAATGTAATGGATATATTTTAAAAATGGGTAAATTATTCTGGGGGCCCTGAAAGGGGCCTCGCTGTGGGAGCAACTGGTTTATCCTATTCCAGCACGTCTGTGGATTTGAGCGCCATTTTGTTTTTCTCATTAACTTTTATCATCTTTTCTAAACATTATTTTCTTTGCTGTTACTTTCTGTAAATAAAAAAAATGCAAACTCTGCTTCTCATTTAGACTCACTCATCGTCTTACTGTAATTAGCTTTTGCTAACACAATACTGCTAAAAACTGATCTAAATTAAAATCTAACTGTCCTCAATCAAACAAATATTTGATATGAAATATTTTTCATTAACTTGGTTTTGATATGAGGCCTCTGTGGATCTCATGACGACAAGCTAGGCTAATATTAGCCTAGCATCTGCCATTAGCTGGGTGATGTTAGCCAGGTGTATATAATCTATTGTATAATATATAATATATTGTATTTTTTAGCTTCTCCAATATCTTCAAAACTAACCCTTTCTATAATGCTTGAGTCATAATTTGAAGCACATATCTGTGACTTTTGTTTATCCTCATGGCAATAGGGTGGCCAACCGTCCGTTGAAAAACGGAATCGTTCCGTATTTAGAAATAGAAGTACCCGTCCCGTATTTAGTGGAAAAGGAACGAACTTTGTCCCGTTTTACTGGGAGAGTAAAAAACAGTCAGTAAAAAGCTAAAGGAAAATGGAGAACAAGGGCACGTTAGATACAAAACTTATGGTAAACTTGTTCCCGTCCCTGTCCTGTGTTGTGACCAATGAGCTGACAGCATATATATTAGGATCCAGAATCCCCTCATCCTATTGGTCGAGCCAAGTGTTGCTCATGGAGAAGATAGCAGGAGACAGAGCAGGATGGAGGACGAATGGAGGAATTTAATTTAAATGCTAACGCTGCTTTTCTCCGTTTTACTCTGCAGCAGAAAGAAAAACAACTCCTACTCTGTCGTAGGCTATCAGATATGACAGAGTATTAGGGCAAGGATAGAGATTTATTTCTTCTGTTTCGAAAATTAAGTCGTAATATTTTGGGAATAAAGTCAATATACAGAAACCTGTTTCAGAAAGAAAGCAGATGACGGCCAACCAGCTCCACCAATCAGCAGCCAGAGTCCACTTTGACATCCTGCCCAGTTTGATGCTGCTGCTAAAAGATTTCCTGATTCATCAAACTGATTCTAAAGTAGAACTTCACATGATGCTCCACATTCCTCATTTTAGGGAAGAGTTGTTATAAAATACAACTTGTTTCTCATAATTTTAGGACTTTATTCTCTTAATATTACAACTTTATTGTCCTAATTTTAGGACTATTCTCGTTGTGACTTTTTTTCTTGTTATATAATGACTTTATTCTCATAATTTTACGACTTTATTCTGGAAACTAACCGATGCTAAAGTAGAACTTCCCATGATGCTCCACATTCCTCATTTTAGGGAAGAAAGGGCTTCTGGGAAGAGTTGTTATAAAATACAACTTGTTTGTTGTAATTTTGCGACTTTACTGTCAGGGACCACGTGGCCTAATGGACAAGGCGTCTGACTTCGGATCAGAAGATTGAGGGTTCGAGTCCCTTCGTGGTTGCTTTAAAAAGGAAACAACCCTTGTATTTGAAAAGAAATCCATGCTGTCACAGTATGGCTAGTGGCGACCTAGTGGTTAGGGAATCCTGAGGTTGTGAGTTTGATCCCCCTCTGGCTCCCTGAGCAAGACCCTTAACCCCATGCATTGAGCTAATTATATTTTTTTCTGTTTTACAACTGTAGCCTACAGTCATTGCATTTAAGGCACAAATATGTTTACAAGTTTGCTGTTGCACCAAAAATGTTCACTATTAATGTATTGTTTTATAATAATTTTTACAGTTTGAAGTTAAGCAGGACGGACTTAAGTTTAAGATAGAAGTTATTCAGCAAAGTTTGATAGGCAGCCGGGTCAGCCGGCATGCACATGATGAGTCCCTTTTTTTCAGGGAGTTGGTTAAAAATCCCAATTATCAGCTCAAAATCATTAAATGAGGAGCTTGTTAAATACACTGGAAAAAAGATATTTACACTTCATTTGAGTAGGTTATTTAGATAGTTTGCCAGTGGAATGAGTATTTTCACTCTTAAAATAAGATAATTAGAATATATGCACTTGAAATAAGCCAATGAAATTGTGTTTTCATATTTTAAGTGTAAAATGTCTCTTTTACCTCCTCAATCCAAAAACAAATGCACTTATTTTAAGAAAAACAATGTAGTTGTCTTTCATCTGAGACATACATGTTGTTAAAACCTCACAGTTGAATAAAATCCTCCATGGAAAAATGCTGTCCTGGATTTTGCAGGAGGGTAAATACAAGAAGCAGAAAAACATCCCTGTTTGTTTCGATGTTTTATTTGTTAGAAAAGGACAGAAAGAACCATTTTATCCTCTGCAGCAGAGCTTCCAGGTGCCAGCTTGTGTTTTCCTGCTCCAAGATGAAAGCACGGCATGTTTAACTGCTGTGACCCATAAGTATTATCCCTCCAAAATAATACCGATTAAAATGATTGCTCGGGGTAAGATACCATGACTGAAATAATTGTTTTTCTAAATCTAAATATTTTCTATATATCTGTATTCTAAGAACCGGGGGGGTTTAGATGGACAAGAGGAAATGAAAAGAAGGAAAATAAGAACTAAATTAAAGCCAGAGCTCAAGGTCTATCAGCTTACAGACAGAGTAATTTGTCATGGATTTAAGTTTGGAAATATTACATGAGAGGTATAATACTGAGGCAAACATGGGGCATCCAGCTCCGGACACAGATCGCTCCATATCATAATCATCTTTAATACCAAATAATCTTTGGATAAACCTTTAATCCGGTGTCAAATCTCAGATCTTAGGAAGGTACTTTTTTTGTTATTCCAGATCCAGATTAATCCGTGCGCTGATGTATCAGGAGTTGACAGCAGCGGTGTGGTTTTCAAAAACATGAAATGAATTCATATGAGGAGGAAGGATCAGTGAAGGCGATCTTCTTTCACCGCCGTGGATCAGATTTTAAATAAGATTTACGTTGTTGATCTTTGGAGCAGAGCAGTCAGACATTACAGCTAATTTATGCTTTGTTTTTGTCTCCTTTATTAATAAAGGTGGATTCAGGGACATTCGAAAAAACAAAAGCAATAAAAGAAACATAAACAAGGTTTTGTTGTTCTCAACATTTCAATATAATTATTTGAACTGTAGAAGCAAAGAGGCATTTCTTCTCTTGTCAGTAGCGGGGCGGGGATTTACCATTAGGCAATACCAGGCAGTTGCCTAGGGCCCCAAGTT